AGACATAGTTAACGACTAAGAAGGTTATAAAAAAATGCGACATTACACATTGAACTCGCTAGTACCTAAGAAAAATTTTAAAAGTAATTTTTAAATTTATAAAATACACAACTAACAGTAAGCAAGTAACAAAAGCAGCATTTATAATATCATTAGTGGCAAAACAAAATGGTTGTTATATGTAAACCGCGCAATTCGCTCTGTAAGCAGATTGCAGCTCCAAATGTTCTCAGCACTTTGAATTGAGGTCAGCTAATGGCAAGTGGCAGGTGTTATACATTTTTAACACATAACAATGGTGTTATTATCATTGTTTTGTCTTATATATAATTAAGTAAAACGAATATAGGAATATGGTACGATTATATGTATACATATGTGAATGTAGGGAAGCGTGTGAGCAGGGTCCGTCTTTGCCTACCTAACGCCCTTGGAATTTTTTTTTACGGCGACTTTCCTCCTGACGACGAAAAAACAAGGTCACCACTCTTTAATAAAACGCTTTTGGACAATACTTTACCGGCGACCAAAGATCCCTATTCCTTCAAACAATGACGCTTTTCTAATTTTATTTTATACCTAATGAGCGAAAATGGAATAGAAACTCCGCCTGCGCACGTCAGTTAGAAACCAGGTATTGGCTGTGTCTCTCGGCATTAAAGCTACATTTGAACACGCGTGGTGGTCGGTAATCAAACAAAGACTTCGAAACATTGAGTGTCCCAGAATTTATACCACATTTTGAGCAGCTAAGATAGCTGGTCAAAATGTGGTATAAGTGGTGGTGGTAAGTGGTGTGGTATTCTGGTCTTTCAAGCAAAGATATTGGCTGTTAGTCAGACCTGTCAGCTAATTACAGTCAAAAAATTTTCAACAACGTCTAATCTCTCTGATAGAAAATCAGTCTTAAAAGAGTTATGCAACCCGAACATCCGAAACGGATACGGAATACGGATATCCTTTATCTAGTTGCGATCTCACGTAGAGATAGAGAACTATGAAATAACCGATCACACAGCCCGTGCTGCGGCTACCTCAAGCATATAGTGATATGCCTTTGACAAATTTTCTCTAACTATGTTCAACATCATTTTAAATAGGAAATCAAAGCCGTCGCTTAAAATCTATACAATGGTCCTAACAATTATCTCTTTACAAAGCAATGATATCCAGACAATAAAATGGCCAATGGGGCATTGGAAGTGCTTCATGGCTTCAATTAAACATACCAGTATCGATTTAAAATTACCGCGGAAGACAAATGTCCATGTAACAATGATATACCTATATCAAATAATAGGTCACCTTGTTAAAGAATGCAATAGATTCAGTTCCACCAGATTGTCATGAGATTGCTTGTCAAATGACAAGAATCGATAATGCCTTTAAATTGGAAAACATAATCACAAAAGCGGACACCATTCATACATTTTCATTAATATTAATCAAATATCTACTTACTTTTTAAATTTCATATATTTATACAGAATGCCAAACAATTCATCCAACACTATGTAAACTTATAAATACAATTCGACATAAATGTAACTAATAATATATAATAAACAATCTCTCTAGGTGATTCAACAAGCCATATTCAATCTACGAGTATCTCAATATTAAACCACCATAAACACCATAGTGATAAATAGCTAGCGTAAACCGATAGCGTACAGCTTTTCATCGCGTATACCATAAGCAATACTGGAAAAAGAAACCCGTCTGCGCTTATCTAAACCGGGACTCGAATCACTGAAAATAGAATAAAAATGTACTTTCTATTTTTATTGTACCAATTTGTACATTCAATGACTTCTTGACTGTATGAATTCTTTGAAATAAATATTGTATGTACATTCAAGGAAAGCAATAATATATATTTATTCTAAGAAAAACGATGAACAAGTATTGGTATTATTGCAGAGACTTAATAGAATCTCATACTAAATTTAAAAATAACTCATACAATTTCATTTGGTATAAAAATAAAAATGTGTTTTAAAATAATTCATATTCAATTGAAAACTTTACGGATACTCTTCCATCAGAATTGATATTACTATACTATTAGTGTACTTATAACCTAAATACTAAGTACATTCTACTGTCATGTTATAAACTCATAACCATTAGGATTTTAAAAATTCAGATATTAAAACAATAGAGCACGACGTTCTTTAGATACTTAATGGTAGTTTACCGTGACTTCTCTTGCGCGCTTTCTACAGATTCGTATGAGTAATATAGGTGTACTATATACTATGCAAGACAAATGAAAGCAAGAATCATCTTCTTTCTACCATTGTCCCAATTATTCATTCATCTCTACCCGCAGTCATTTCTACATTTACTCCCATTTTAACCATTTAGTGTTTTAAACAGTCTATTCATATCTTTTTACGTCTTCCTCTACCGTTATAGACACACTAATTCTATATAGGAATATGGAACACGTAGCTAGGTTGAAAGAAATAGTTATTTGATTAGAATTTTTTACTACATTTAGAATCATTTCAATTATTTTAAATACATTTTACATCTTTAAAAAAAAATACACTCAAATATTAGTTGAAAGTGATTTCAAAGAATTTATAAAGAAAATATTGGCTCTGCAAAGTTCATTCTCATGCGAAAGTAATTAAAAATTGACGTGATTTTAACAAAAGCTTTAAAACCCTTTGACCGCGACTGAATTGATAATCGAGGAAAGCTTCAGGGATATTCAATAGGTAAAGAGGGACCGAAACGATTTAGACGTGAGATGTAAATTAATCGATTTGGTAGAATCGTTAAGCTGAACTATATCTACTTCATGAGGTATTAAAATAATATCGCACACATGTTTTATCTTATAAACATCTATACGGTATAAATACTTAAATAACATTGAAATTGTTATAGTTAAATGCTATGCATGAATTTTTCAAAAATAATGTGAAAAAGCGTAGCTGATTTATCCAATCCAACGGACTGACAGATCAATATCTGTCAGTCCGTCCAGTAAGGTTTATCTACACTAATATTATAAAGAGGACAGATTTTATCGTTTCTTTGTTATCAATAAAGTTAAAAAACTGCTCAACCACTTATAAAAATCCTTCATCTATAGAAAGCTGCATTATCAGAGAATCATCACATAAGCTATATATTTCTATATGTATTTCGGAAAGATCTATCTACCCGTGCAAAGTCAAACAGAATAACATTTTTTTTATTCACCTGTAATTAAAACAGCGATATGTTCATGTTACCAAATCAGACCAATACCAAAAACTTTGTATCAATTTAAATTTTCGACTAACTCTTTGTTAATTGAAAATATCAATAACAAATTATTCGATTGTTTCCAAGTTGCCAAGTTTTAATTACTATAACCGATTCTAGTAATATATTCAGAGAACGTGAACACGTCGTTTGTCCACAACATAGCAGTCGAGAAATGCTCCTAACTACCCTAATCAAGATTACAATCGTAAATATAAATTTTCTAAATAAAAAATTTAAATTATTTTAATTTAATTAATTATTAAATTTAAAGTAAATATAAAATTGTATTTATTTACATATTATTATTTTTAAAACTAATGCTCATTTTTATTGAATTTCTCTATACATAAGTAACAGGAAATTAATAAAGTCACTGTTTTATCGTCGTTTCTGATAATTGTTTTTTATATATTCTCCATTATACACATGTCCACTTCCAGTTTCCAATACGTTTCGATTTTTTTCTAGATCATGTTGTCGAATAATCTGCAGCTCGGATAGCCATACGGCTCCTCTGTCAATATCGCGCCATCCATGATATTAGAGCTTCATTATCATATAGATTAGGCCTCGTGAGCCGTGACGAATGCCAATGATGAATCTCACCTTTGCTGCGCTATATTTGATACTAGAAATGGGCAATAAAGTGCAAATGTATCTAATAATATCATCACAATACCATTACGCTTCAATTATTGCGACTATTTGGGGTAATTGTTTTTGTTTTGTTAGGGCTATCTGAAAATGGATAATAATTAACATTCGTTATTTCATAGAGCATATTATTTATATTGTAATATGCTTTTATGTGTAGATATAGTATGTTTTATTAATTACAAAAAAATATTACGTATATGTAACTAGTTACTAACTGTGATTAGGACATATGAATTAATTATCATTCACATACCAGCCTTTAACTGTCCACTGTTGAACATAAGCTTCCTTGGGGGGTTTTGCCAGTAGTTGCCATGCTTGGCAGGCAGATTGGCAACCGCAGTTAGGCTTTAGAAATGTTTTAAGAGAGACGCTGTTGCCCATCCCTGACTTTACTTAGTCACTTCTTACGATACCCATGGAAAAGGAAAGAGTGGCTTATTCTATGCCGGGACCACGACAAGAACATATAAATTTGAGGTATTTTCCATCCCATTTTTGTACTTGTATCACTTGTTCTTCTCCATCCCAAATACTAAATATATGTCAAAATACATAAAAATTGATTAATCTGTTAAAGTGGCAAGACATAATAATTTACTTTAACATCTTTTTAAGATTAGTAACATGAAAAATTCTATTTATATTATAAATGCAATAGTTTGTAGAATCAGTGAATAGATGGATGTTTGCCACTCTTTCACACAAATATTACTGAAGAGATTGAATAAAATTTAGTATACGAGTAATTATATCCTTTTTTTTTTACGTGGGGAAAGCCTCATGGAGACCCACACACCCCGGGGGAGGCATGTGGATACTGCCGGACTCTTACCGACTAAAACCACCACGTGTTCCTCGGCTACAACTAACGGCAGCGTTGCTGCGGTTCCGGTTTATTACTACTCCGCAACAACGCCAACGTCGTTGCTCAACCCCATTCCAAGAAGGGGGAGCCCGCCTCTAGGAGCCTAACTCCCAGTCCATCTCTGAAGAAGACGTGCCGAAACAAGAGCACGTTTCCCGACTCAGAGGCCTTTTCATTATAGTGCATCGGACACCCCCGTGTTCAGCGCTTAAGGCCCCTCTTGAGAAGACTGACTGCGATTTCGCTGTCGGCCCCGTTTTCTTCGGAGTGGATTTGAAGTTGGATCCGACTCCCGGTCCCGTTCCTCAGCCTCTTTTAGTTGCATAATCTGCTCGGAAAAGGACACCATCGCCTCCCAAGATTGTTCATCATTTACCATCCTTCTGACGACGGATGGTAGCGTGAGGTCTGCACCGATAACTGCCGTCAAAGCTTGACGCGCAATTGTCCACCTTGGACAGTCTTCAAGTGTGTGTTGCGCGGTGTCTTCCTCCGCGCCACATTGATGGCAAACGGGTGTGGGTTCCCTCCGAGATACCTTCCACAGATACCTGCCAAAGCACCCATGCCCCGACAGGATCTGTGTTAGGCGGAACGACAGAACTATGTTTTCGCTCTACCCATTCCCTAAGAAGGGGGTGGAGTGCTTGTAGGGTCCGGTCTCGAGACCCTCCATTACCTGTTATTATTGAGAGCCGTCTCTGCCAGGTTTCTAAAGCCGTATCTTGAGCTGATTTGCGCCAACGAACTACTTCTTCAGGGGCGAGTAATTATATCCTAATTTAACACATAGGATATATTATATACTGACTCCCGTTATCAAAACTGCAGCATACAATTAGCATGATTATAAATTTAAAACTTTGTAAAGAAATATATATGTTTATCCTATTTCATTCAAATCCGTTCATTTGTAAAGAAAAATTGACTAAAACAAATCCTTGCTCAATTACGCTGAAATGACTGACCAGAATTGAACTAAATTTTTACACTGATATACTACATCCTCCATATAAAACACTTTTTATCCTAATTCCACACAGGCGTAGATTATATCTTTTTTTATAACATGAATAATGTAGTTTATAATATTTTCACCGACATAGTGAGCAAGCTTCACAATTGCTTAATGCAATATTAAATGAAGCAAAGTGAATATTCATATTCGTAACTAGCTACTATTAGATCACTTGCCACATGAGCTGCATGTCACCGAGTTGAACTCAAATTAGCGACAATTACTCAAATTACCCAACTTAGCGAAGTTACCCGTTATCCTAAAACACGAGTAAAATGGTTTGTCATTATTAAATTTTAATAACCCATTATTTTATTAGTTACTTACACAATTCTTATACTTTTTATTACAAACTACTTACCCACGCTTCGTACTATTAAGGTAATTGATACTAAACCTTCCCTTTTTTAATTTTTTTTTTATTTTTTCGTAGGACTATTCAAACATTTTTTTCTCACAAACATACACGTACAAACATTATCTTGATAATTACATATACAACAAAAAGTTGAAAAATTGGTGTAACCGTTTTTTTATACCACAAAGGTGGTAAACAAGCATACAGCCAACCTGATGGTAAACGGTCACTGTAATCTATAAACGCCTGCAACACTAGGGGTTGCAGCGCGTAATGCGCGTTGCCAGCCCTAGAAAAACCTTAATGCAGCAATTTTTGAAAAACCATTTTAAAGTGATGCACTTAGGTACATTCGACAATTGATTTTTATTTATTTGTAAATAACAACATAAAATAACAATACATCGTACTATTTATTTGCAATAAGTCCGCCTTATTACGCTTATATACATATACCATACGTGTGTATCTTTTGTTTGTGTTCTTTTATTTTATATGTTGTACAAATACATGTATGTATCATGGGCGAAACAGTATACTCTGTTATGTTCATAGTACTACTCTTATCTATAGGCGACGGTTGCCACTTTCTATCAGGTGGGCCTTCAGCTTGTTTGCCATTCTAATAAAAAAAAATACATATATTACAAATAAATAAATCATTTATTTGTTCTTTATTTTAAGTTGTTAATAATTATTTTAACAAACTAAATCTTGAATGAGAAGTGTGAAGTGCAGCAAAAGATCTAAACAATGACTCTACGAAATAAACGCTTATATGAAACGAAAAACCTAATCGACTGATAAACGCACAATGAAAACTACTGAGGCTAGAAATATAAAATGTGTAATTTACGTGTCTACTATTGACAAAGGATATATTTTATTCGCTTACAATTATGGTTTATTAATAAAATTTTGAATCTCGTATTTATCATATTTAAATGTACGTGAATAAACCTAAAAACGCCAACTAGCACTTTTAATTTTTTAAATTCACATTTAGATTATTCCCTCTGATTGGTATTTCAACATATTGGAAAACTATAATTTTCCATCTTTTTTATTTTAAATAATAAAAACCGCACTTTTAATAGAATAGGTACAAAATATAATATAACACAATTTTTTTAAATATATTTTTCATCGATTTAAATATTTAAAATTATAATTTCTTTCATCCATTGTTACTGTCATGATGCAGCAGAGATTATCTATATGTTATTTCCAAAACGAAATACTTTTTAATTTTATATTTATTGGTATACAATAAAGAACAAAAATGTAAAGCTTTTTTACTTAAAAACATTATCGTTCAACATTTTTCACAGAACTCGTTTATGTCTATAATGCACCTTTTAATTAACAGATTTTTAGGTAAACAACACAGTTTTTAATGTTTATTTTTAAATGTCATATTCTAGACGACTATAATGATGTAAAATTATATGCTAAAATTATTTAAGGTGTAGAAAAATTACTTATAGTGTTAGAAATAGAAATTAGAATTTGGAAAGGAAAGAAGTTCTTTTCCCTTTGATACGATGCCGCTAAGTATTTAAGTGAGCCCTTGAACTGAGGCTGCAATCGCAGTTCGCTTGTTAGGGCCCAGATTAAGAATACCATTCATGTACCTCAAAGACGCACAACGATGCTCGAGGCGTGGTGTTCAGTGTGAATATACTCATTTCACTTTGAACTGCCTCTCGTTCTTGTAGTTGACTCAAGTGGTATTGAAATTTCACGCATCTCTACTGAGCAGGAGTCCAGATGTCAGCCCGAGATCGAAATCTGAGCTATCTTAATATAGGTATAAAAATCCCATTTAAGGATGTTCGTTCGTGCTCATCTTTGAAATCGCTTAATTGATTTTAATAAAATTATGTTTTTAATGTTTGCTCCAACTTGAGAGACAGGGCTTAAGAGATAATTTATCCCAATAAAAAAATACCCGATAGGTAGTGCTAGAAACCAAAATAACGTTGTGCTGTCTCATATTGTTAAATAATTCATATAATTAGTGCTTAGATTTGTGATATAGTATTGTTTTGCTTAAGAACCATGTGTCTAATATAATTGTGAAATATTGTACACCTCATAAAAGTATAATATAAATGAACTATCTACAATATAAGACCCCGTATCATCATCATCATATCAGCCTTTAACTGTCCACTGCTTAATATAAGCCTTCCTATTAGCGGGTTTTGCCAGTAATTGCCACTCTTGGCAGGCGGATTGGCGACAGTAGTTAAGCTTTAGAGATGTTTTAAGTTTTTCATTCCTCGCCCTCCCTTAGTCGACTTTTACAACACCCACGGGAAAGGAAGAGGTAGCCTATTCTATGCCGTAACCTTGTATACTTATAATAAACAATAAAGATATATATAATAATATATATAATGTCCTAACAACCATTTACTAGCCAGCATGAATAGAATAAAAAATTACCGGTAATGATACAAGATCTATTTTTCATTCATATCTATATAAATATTTTCAACTAATAAACATCTAGTTTTTACATCTTTATGAACTTTCACATTTTTTAATTTAGTAATGAAACTATAATTTGTCTCTATTTTTCTCTCTACCTACGAACGTATTACACGTGTTTTTGTGAAAGAACTTTATAAAAATCCTACATAACTCACGTAGGATTTTCTATTCTTCTATTTCCTAGTACTCACAGCTGGATGGATTTTTATAAATTCCCTGTTGTAATATTATTACATAGTAGCACGAATTAAAGAAAATCTTGCCTTTCTTTTTTTTTTCTTCAGAAAGAAAAATATGTATAGCCTTATTTGTGAATAATAAAGAATTAATATATGAATAGTTAATTTTTACTTTCACTTTCATTTCACATATGTAATTAAATTTATTTTCAACTCTGCACAATGCTATTTATAATGATACGTCGACAATAATAATCAACAACGTAAGTGCCTATTATTTATTAACAAAAAATACTTTTCATTTTACGTTTTCCAATTTTTATATGTTGTTTAAATGTTAAAAAATTTAATAATGCTATTTTTCCCATGCAATCTTGAAGGTAATAATGTGTATGTATTGATTCTCGAGAATGAAATTAAATGAAATGAAAGGAAATTTAATTTGTAAAAACATAACTATAGTTTATTAAGTAACAGTACTAATATAAATATTGTAATTTAAAATGGGTAAAATAGTTGTGGTTTTAGAATTGGGCTCTTCAATAAGTTAATATAATAACCTGTGTTAAGGAGGAATATAATAGTTTTTTTTTTTTTAGATCCAAAATACAAACCAAGCGTATATTTAACTCACAAAAAAAGATCTATATAACACATCCGAAGATATCAGGAACACTTTTCTAAACAAAGCCTTTTCACGACCTTTTTCATAAACCCTATCCTTATAATCTTTTTAGGGAAACCTGGATTTATTCGCACGTATTTATATAATATAAAATAGTACGTACTTATTCCAAAATGTTCCTACTTTATGAGAAGTAATCGACTAGATGTTTCAAAAGGTTTTAGACTTGTTTCCAGGATTATAGTTTGCAATAAACCAATATGCCCTCTTGCGAGACACATACGAAGCATATAAACTACATACAAAGCGATTGCTTAAGCCCCATCCGCTGATCCGATCCAAAGCCTCTATTGTGCTTGCCATTCCTTTTGTGTACTGATCTGCTGTTTATCTCGATGACAAGGCCCGAAGTAATTTATTGTTTGAACTAAATATACCTATGTAATAATTTAAAAATATATATAGCTTATGACCGATAATTAAATGTACGTCAATATAGTTTTATCACTTTTTCCTGCTTACCCCGGGACATAGATAATAATAAATTTATATTATGATCTCCTATAACTAAAAAAGTACTCTAATTATATAATTTAATAGGCTGTTAAAGAAAACTATTCCAAAGTTAGTATGGGATCAACATTCAAGTAAACTATAAGGTTTGCAACAAGTATTCTTAAAATCAATTAAAATGTACCGAAAATATTGCGCATATCAAACTTTAAAAATCTTCTTTTTCCATATATATGATTTTTTTTATTCTTTAAATTAAATAAATCATAATTGTTATTATAATAAATAATCAGTATTACATATTGTAAAATAGACCAAAAAGTTGTATTATAATGACAATACCACTTTTTAACAAAAGATGTAATCGACATAAAAAAAAATACAAAAACCGAAGTAAAAATTTACCTCTTCTTAACTAAGCTCCTAATCTAATCTAATTTGGTGTACAAAAGGCAAGTCCCCGACAGTACCTACCCGATGTACGTTGCATTTTTATGTTATTTTGTATTGTTAATTTCATTAAGGCAATTTAATTATTTCGTCGGTTTTTTGCACCCAGTGAAAATTACTGAAAAAACCGAATATAAATTATACCTAATTCGTGCTTCATCCTCTAGATTAGAGACAGCAATTATAGTCTTAAGAAATAACTTGCTAATGTTACATTAATTTTAGAATAATGAAAAATAAAACATATTCATTGTAATGTGGAGTAACTGTTCTTATTTAGTTCTGCACTAGTTTATACGTCTTTAGAACGTCTATATTCTTTTCAAATCAAATCAAATCAAATCAAATCATTTATTGCACGAATATGGGTACATACATTAGTTGAAAAAAAATAATTACATGTCCATTATTCCATATTCTACCATATCGGCGTGTACAATATAAAATTATAGTAATAATAACTTATAATAATAATATGTACCCCGCGTCCGAGCTCACCATCTAGCTCACGTGGAAGGCGGTCACGCGTATAAATTAAACCTACGCGGCTAAAGGGGCAATGGCAAAAATAAAGATGGCGGATAATAATAACGGAGAGAGTATAGGGTCGCTGCCCGGGGGTCGCCGGGGCGCGTCTACAACTGGCGGTAGGCGCGGCAGAATGCGAGCCAGCCGACCGGCCCCACCACCTGGCCGGTCCGACCCCTCGCCATCGACATCAGCTGGCTTGGCGCCGGCAGGGCCGTCACAGGCCCAGCAATCGGTGCCCGCCACTGGTGGTACACGTCGCATGAGGTGGACAAGAGCCATGAATGAGGACCTCATGCGTGCGTTCTTCAGGGCTACAGGGACAGAAACAGGCAGAACAGGATACCGGGCAGTAATGCACCGCGAGTTTCTGCGTCTTTTACCGGATCTAACCGTCTCGGAACAGAACCTAGCCGACAGAGTTCGGTACATACAGCGCTCTGGTATGTTTAGCGCGACCGAACTCGAACGATTGCGAAGTGAAGTTGTTCCAGAAGCAAATTCCGCGACCGTAGAGCAACCCATCTCAGACGTGCTACCTAGCGTAGAGGTGGTTGCCGAAACGCTTTCAGAAGCGGATGCGGACGGAACAACTTCCCAGGATATAGAGCATATGAGGAGCATACTAGAGGAGGCGATTCTAGAGATCCGAAGAACTCCCCTCGAAGAGAGACCGAAGCTTCCCCGGATATATCCAAATGTGGCGACGCGGGATGCCATTGAGGCCACAAATGGACTGCTGCCTCAGTACCTTGAGGGCAGCGGTGACCTGGGAGAGACGAGTTCAATCCTGTTTGGCGCTGCGTTGGCAGTATGCCGATATACCGGCGCAAAAATGCCCCGGGCTGGACGTAATATCCAAAGGGATAATATGAAACCAGCCTGGAAAAGAAGGATTGAACGACGGATCGCCCAGGCCAGAGTCCTCATTGGTAGACTGCTCTGCTTCAGGGAGGGCAACACACGCCCGAGAATTATGCGCTCCATAAAAGAGGCCTTTGCTGGGACAGGTGTACGTCTGTTCCAGCCGGACTTCGGGCACAAACTTACGGAGCGCATAGATGAACTGAAGCAGAAGATCGCTGCATGGGGGAAGCGACTCCGACGGTACTCTGAGAGGGTTGAGAGGTATCAACAGAATCGCCTCTTTATGAGTGATCAACGGAAGTTTTATAGGAACTTGGAGCGCCCAAAACTACAGCCCACAGGACAAAGACCCGAAACAGCCAATTTCGTCGCCTTCTGGAGACAGCTGTGGTCTGAACCTGTGGAACATGAGGAGGGCGCATGGATGCACGATGTTGAGGAAGCATGTGCTCGAATAACGCCGATGAACGCCATTGCCATTACGGAGGAAGACGTGGTTGCCGCGATCCGTCGGGCTCCGAACTGGAAAAGTCCGGGGATCGACGGATTGCAGCACTACTGGTTAAAGGCGTTCTCGGCCAGCCATGCGACCTTAGCCGTACAATTCCAGAGTGCCCTCGAAAACAGGGCGCTCCCGAACTTCCTTACAACCGGGATCACTCATTTAGCTCCTAAGACGGACGATACCGCGGATCCATCTAAATTTCGCCCCATCACTTGTCTTACGACAATATATAAGACGTTAACATCCGTTCTGAGCGCTAAGATCTCTCGTCATGTGTACGAGAATAAGATCCTATCTAGCGCTCAGAACGGATGCAGGGGCGGTAGCCGCGGATCGAAGGAGCTGCTCCTCATTGATGCTGTCGCTGGGCACGTGGTCAAGCGGAACCGTCGGAATTTCTCCGCCGCCTGGATAGATTATAAAAAGGCGTTCGATTCCGTGCCCCATTCATGGCTCCGGAGGATACTCGAGCTGTACAAGATCGACGGTACAGTTCGAGTGTTCTTGGAGGCATGCATGAGG